CTCTAAGTCTTCCTACCAATATGACCATGTTGCGAAAACAAGGTCAAACAACTTCTATACAACGAAACGAGACTGCGACCACACAAAAGACCACATCATCTTGGTTTTCATACCTTCCATTCTTAATTTATTGGCTATTGCTATTAGACCATTCAAAGCAAAAGATTCATGACCAATTTCAATTCCCCCTTTTTAAATAGGTTCCTATGTTGATCCATTCGATTGTATTTGAATAGAATGTAAGTTCTTTTAAATTGCACTTACTAAAATAATCTCAATTGCGAATTATGTGAACGTTAATCTGACACAAGGGTCTGAATCAAACTTGTTATGGGCCCAGCTTTGACTATTCCTATTTGTTAGTTTGCTTAGTTAACTCTTAGATCCATTTGACTTTATATTTTCTCTGTCGTTTACAAAATATAATTCGCAATGAGCTAATATAAAATAATGCAAACCAAAGGTCTAGAATCCCACATCAAATCCTATTGATCGAATAGATTATATACGAGATGTTTTCACTCTATTTCGCTTACGGTGATGAAGGACTGGTAGTTGAATTTTCCCACAATTGTATGGATAGAGCTAGGTTTTCATTGAATTTCACATAGCCTTGCTTTCTCAAAGGATAGTCTCATCTAGAGTGCATCACAGTTTCGACCTCGCTTAGGTCTTGTCAACACACCCAGCAGGAGTCTAACCATGACGGTGCACCGTGTAATCTTGACACGTTAACCACTACACCTTATTGCCACGACTTCTCCTGGGTCACAGGGAAGATGTGAATTTTTAGGAAGGCCAGGCATTTTTCCATATCATATTCTTTGGTGGGATTGCCGATGAAGTAAAGTTCTATTTGCTATGACAATCGATGACTTCTTATTTTCCGTTCATAAGTAGAATTTCGAGACTACCAGTTATATGAGATTTTGATAAGCCCTAATTGAGGTTGAAAATGCAGTCCACCCTGGATGAGAACACCTTTTGGAAAAGCAAGGCAATGCGGAATTCAATGAAAACTTCGCTTTATTCATGTCATTGTGGGAAACTTTAAGTACCAGTCCTTCATCACGTTAAACGAAGTAGGGTGAATACACTTCATATAATTGATTTACTGGTAGTTTCGAACCCCTACTTATGAACGAAAAATAGATTATATATTTTGAAAGCCCAGTTGTTTTATATTTACCCTTCAAATACAAATGAATTCGAGATGTGGTTTGCCCTCAATTAACTTGGAAAATTAAAATAGGGCTACTCTTTAGCCTTATGCAAACTTTTTTCTCGTTATTATTGTGAAATCGTTATTTTACATGCTAGAAATGGATGAAAAACATGTCAGCCGCTATAATGAAATCATCCGTAGAACAGATTCAAATAAAAAATGAGCTTGCCTTTCATGGTCTCATGTATAGAATGAAAATTTGAGAATAGTTGGACTGGTCAACTATACTGAATAGACTTACGATTTAAGCCTTCTAATCTGATTTCTAGTTTTCTTTGTCTTCCTTTCCAGTGGCCTTAGGGTGTACTCTCCTTCGCAGATATCAAGTTTTCTTTCGCTAAGCCTAAATTAGCTGTGATCGTATTTCCATGTGAATTGATAGTTACTATTTGGGTGAGATTGGGTGATTATTCCTTGTCTGAAGAAGTGTAAATTCTTGTTGCTTGTGTTTGCAGCAATAATCTTGCTGATGGGTGTGTGTTGGGTAGTGAGTTGTAAATCCGATTGCCCTAATACCCATTAGACGGCCCGAAATATCCCATGCATCCTTAAGCACAAAAATATTCTGACAGCGTCAATGCTTGGTCCATATTCATCTCAATTTTTTCATTTTACCTTTCTTCTAAATGTCTCAGACGCTTCTAACCCCCATCGTTGTGCGCCTATGTGCTTTCTGGCTGTTTTCAAGCCAATCAAATCCTTTAAAGGCTGGCAATCTATCGCCACCAGGTCTACAAGAGAATCTGAATGCGCCCTGCAAGACAATCCTATTGCGAAAGGGTCTTCCTTGTCCTCCCCATCTTATTCGATTCCTGGCATCAGTGACGTGTCTAGTTCAATTCCTCCTACTGCAAAGGATATGAGTTCTACTTACCAAACCCATATTAGAACCGCTGGACATAATGACTGTATAAAAAAGAAAAAGAAAACAATAGGAATCATCCCAGCAGACAAAAATATAGTTGCAGAAGCACCTGTTTTGTCCCGAAGTGACTCTGGGAAGCATGACCTGGCGAGCTCCAATTTACATCGGATGATAAATTGTGACGTACCTCTGGCACTCCAGGTTTGTTGGCATTTACTAAACTAAGGGACAAATATTGACTCAATTCATACTGAGCTTTAGGTAGATTTGCCTTGTTACTATAATTTTTTGCTTATTTATCTGTGAAATCTAGAGTCTGTGTCTTCCGAAATTTGTATTCTCTAACATGTTATTGGCTTATCCTATTTTATTCCCTTTTAACTTCTTCTTTCGTTAAATGCGCTTTTATTTACTAGTATTCGGTGACCTCTTGCAAGATAATTAGAGTGGACTGCACGATATCCCTGTCTTCCGAGTCTCTTGGCGGTCCCCACCAGACCTCCCACTGTCTTGTCTATGATCGCATTCTAGACACCACATTCCTCCTTGCTCATGCAATGCCTCCACTTTCCCGTCAAATTTCATTCGGGGCACTTAGCGATATTGCCGCCATCGAGAACAATGATGGGGAGATTACTCTATCATCAGCCCCGATACTGACCTCAAATTCCTTCCCTGGTCTGTATTCTCCTACCGCCTTCCATACTAATGTGCTAGGCGGAAAGAGTGGACTGTCCAAAC